CCCCTCCCCTGCCCTCTACTTACCAGCTCCGAGTCCAGTGCCAGCTCCCTGCAGCAGCCACTGGGGACTGCCCGAATCACTGACACTCTCTGAATCTTTTCCGGAGATTTGGAGAGCTTTGAATCGATTCAGACCTTTTAACTGGGTCCTCTGATTTGATTCGGATTTGGAGATTCGGCCACCAAATCGAATCACCACCCAAAGCTTCGCACACCCTAGTGATCAGAGAGTACATAGTACTCCAGGTGTGGTCTTACCTGGCCCTTGCATGATGGCAATTAATATTCTCCTATCTCAGCTTTGCTGAATCAGGGCTTGAGTACTGTTGCAACTATGAGCCCTGATTTTTTCAGTAGCTTCTCCCTGGAGCCAGGCCTCCTCAGCTCCTGGGCAGCCCTTTAACACAGGGTTGGGGGTGGAGAGAAAAACCTGGCATACCTTCACATCTCAGCACCGCATTGTTCCAAACTACATTTCCTTCCTTCAAGATGCAGGTGATGGTTTCTGACCCATGTGTCCGTATGAAGCCTTCGTCACACAGGAAGGAGACAGAGCTGCCCAGTTGAAGGCTGTCACCGAATCTCTTTCCATTGACCGGCACTCCAGGGTCAGGGCATTCATTGTGCCTGAAAGCTGGAAGATGCAAGAAGATGGATGGTGAGCAGCACATTTCTCCCTTTGCTGCTCTAGCCCATGGAGAAAAAGGCTGGTCACATGGAAACCAAAGAGCTAAACATCACTTTGGCTAAAATCAGGTCCCATTTATGCCAGGATAAACCCTTCTATCTTGAGACAAAGTGCAATCATATAGACGTTTGTGTCCATTGTCCTGGAATAAATCCAGAAAAAAATTGTGGTTCAGAGGTAGTAACAATTTATCCCAGGATACTGCAAAGTATATCTTTACAGTTATCGAGGCATTGCACAAATGAGTCAATGGCAGAAAAGCAGTGCTGCATTCAGTCGCTTACTAAACCCCAATTAGAAGGGCCACGTGTGTATGTGCCAATCGCAGGGTATTTTTGTTCCAGGACAAACACAGGCACAATTTGTCCAGGAATAAATGCAATGTATGCTCCTACCCTCACTTGCTTGATCCTGCACCATTAAAGGAATAGGAAGGTTGGCCATTGACACAATGGGAAGAGGGCCAAGGGGACGTAGCTCCCTAAGAGGAGGGATGGTGCAGTCTTTGGAGGACTTACCTAGGACTTGGAAGACCTGAATCCAAGCCTCTCTTCCACAGACTTCCTCTGTGGCTCCTGACAAATCACTGAAGTCCAAATTAAAAAAGGCATTGAGATGCTTTCCTCCACAGTATGTGTCTGAGCACACACTGGAATCAATGAATAGGATTTAAGTCCCTCTAGGGCATGGGAGCAATTTAATTACGGACGAGAAATTATGTCCCATGGCCCTCCATCTTCTGTGCATGCACCTGACGTTTCTCAACCCAGGATAAATATTTAGTTTCCAGTTTTAAGGGAATGGATAAGTCCCTGCACAAGTCAGATCAAGGTTGAAGTCTTAACCACATTGAAATCAGTGGCAAAACTCTTATGGCATCTGTACTGAAGCCAATGGATATGTTGATATCACATGTCGACCAAACTGAGCTACCTTCAACCAACTGAAGCCCCAACATCAATGAAGATATAATGGGGTGGATTTAAAAAAATGGCCTAGACACCTTAGTAATCAACCCAGCTCCCAGGCACTCTGGTACGTGCCAAAACCTATGCCTCCGCACCTTCACTTGCACTGTTACGCAAGCTAGCCAGACTAAAGCTATCTGGATGTACAACTCCATAGGCTGTGGTCGCACATCCAACTGGCCAAGCCGCTTAATTGCTCATTGGTGTAGTTTCTGTGCAGAGTGAAGATGAACCTGCATTGTCCTGATGACATCTACCACCCCTTCCCTCTCAAAAAACCCCAGAAACATCACACTCCACTTAGATGCAAGGCCATTTTATAATCCAGCCCCTACGGTTTTCTGCATTTGCATATTTTTGTGACTGCCATGAAAATACCAAGCCAGAATTTATTTCAAGGCGATTTGGATTCTAGCCTCGCTAATGAATTTCATCCTTCGTGTTCTTTGCGTGGGTATTAGATTCTCCTGTGGGCAGAGGTGGATTCAGACGGTGCATGGCAGCACGGCTGCACCCCCCTTTGCTGTGCTGCGCGTGAGCTCTCGGCATGGGTTCTGCCCCAAACCCCTGCTTTTGCATGACTCCGGGAGCAAAAAGGATGAGTGTTGCTGCTTGTTCCTTCCTTTCCTCTACTACTGAATTTAGTTATTGCAGTTATTCAGCTGAATTCCTTTCTCCAGCTGCTGAATTCCCCAGAAAGAGGGGGAAGGATGAGCAGTAGCAGTGTTCACCCCCCGACCTCCGGAGCAACAGTTACATCTTGTCCCGAGCGGCTGGTTAGCTCACTGCTCACACAGACCTCAAACAGGAGCCTGTGCTGACAAGACACTGAGCTTTGAACTCACCATGCACGTACAACACAGCCAAAGTTGGGAGCTGCACCCCCTGCCCTACTCCTGGATCTGCTCCTGCCTGCGGTCAAGAACCGTTGCAGGGCTTTTTCTGCAGCGATTGACTTACATTCAGGAAAAAAAAAAACACCCTGTTTTGTCTCAAATGGCACCTGAACATGTGAAGTTACCTGATCAGCAGGGTTGGTTTATAATCAGAATAATATAATCAGCCCTTGCAGAGATGCTGTGAGAATACAATTATTAGTATTTATCAGTGAGCAACAAGAAACTCTCATCTTCATTTTTTTTTAAATATTTTAAATGGAACTAGGGCTTTTACAAAACAGTTTTTCATGAAGCTCCAGAAACCTGGTCAGATTAACTTGGGAGGTGCTTGCACGCCAGTGTGCAAAGGGGCTATACACTTCCAGTTAATGACAGAACACAAGAGGATGGAGAGCCAGAGGTTAAATCAAAGGGGTCCCTTAAACCACAGTCTCCGTTTGACTGACACAAGGTGTCTGACCTCACCTGTCACTATTGCTATTATAAAATGACAGAAACAAAGTAATTACCTTTTTACTTGTTGTCAAGTTAAAAGTAAAATTGCATGTAGCCATAGATACAGGGTCCTGTTTACAAGGTTGGCCGTTTCGAGGCATTTAAAAATGGGTACAATTAACCAATCAGAAAGCAATGCTTTAACCTTCACATCCCATCAAGTTTATAATTGTGTCCTGTCTCTTAGCATGCAGTGGAGAGGTTCTTCAGAGGTTTGCAGCATATGCAAACCTACAGCACCCAAGTTAATGGCACGAACGTGCATTTAAGTTAAATGGATTTGTCCAACTGTGTGGCTCAGTGCTCACATTTGTCTGCGGTGTCAAGATGTCTCTTCTCTTGCAAGCTTTTTGGGGCAGGGACTGATGGCTGGTGACAGATTTGGATGCTCCCAGCAACAGCGGGGGAGTGAGTTCTCTGTCCCTTCCAGTCCTGTCACTTTCTAGCACCCAAAACGCTATGGGCATTGGGCCACGTCCAGGGCTCTTGGGTATCCCTGGAGGATGATTATAAAATGGCATCATTTGGATTACAAAATGGTCTTGCAAGGGAAGTAGCAAACACTTGGGGGACTGGACAAGACTAAGAAATGCCCTTCGAATCAATCCCCTGCCACATCAAAAGCTTTGGTGGCATCTTGGTTTCTTCAGTTCTCTGCCTGTAGCACACAGTTGCGCTTCCCTGAGGCCTGAAAGGGCTCATTCCAGCTAAAGTCTTTGGCTTAATGTAGCATATCGGGGGGGAAACTTAATGGCGTGTGGTATGCAGTAGAGCAGACAGAGTGACTGAATGGTCCTTTCTGCTCTTCAACTCCAAGAAGCTACAGGAAACGATCCTGCCTCAAAGCAAAGCTAAGTAGAACCAAATCTGAGCTGAATTCAAATTGGGGCTTTGTATCCTGGGCCCCGTCTCTGCTTTTTTTTTTTTTTTTTTT